CCCCAAAACCCCAAAACCCCATTAGTTAGAATATAGAGGGCGCTCGAGTTAAAGGATTTTTAAATCAATGACATCTTTAATTGAAGCTTTTAATAATTATTAGTCAACTGAAAAAATATTTTAGATTTCAAATAAAGTATCAGAGTTCGGTGAGGAATAGTAAGTTGGTGAAAAAAAGGTTTAGCATGGAAGCGAAGAATCAAAGTCACAAATATTGCTTCTCAAGTTTTTAAAGCATACCACTTGCAAAGCTATATACTCCTTGAGACCCAAAATCTGCCTTGATTGTTGGGAAATATTTGCTTTTAACAACAATCCTAGTAATGATAAGCAAAATGCTGAACCAAGTACTCATGTTAGTCAAAAGCATAGATTGACAGATGAATTCTCATATATGCTTGAAGCGAATGAGACAGCTATTTTAAATATGAATAAAAAGAATAATAGAGCTGAATCAGTATAAAATGGTCTGAATTAAGCTTAAAATGAATTTCAATTATACAGAGCGATCGGATAATTCAAAGAAACTTATAATAAAAATAATTGTGGTGGAACAGGTCCAGATAAAGATAAAGCATCAGCCTTAGTTAATAAAAAATAAATTGATTATCAGACAATTGAAAAGTTAAAACAAATTTAGGAAAATGAGAGGAAATAACTTAAAAAACAGAGAAAAAATGAAAGAAAAAAGCAAAGAAGAATTGAGAAATCAGAATAAAAGGAAAGTAAGAAGCAGACAAAAAGAAAAAGTAAAGAGCAAAAAAGAGGATCCTAATTGAGAACAGGACCTTTGGTAATTGATCTACTAGATGATTAAAGCGAAGAAGAAAAATAAGATAATTAAAATTAAGTTTTGAATGTCCCCTCTGCTAGCATATAATTAACCAATCCTTCTGAATAGTTGTAAAAAACATAATAATTATAAGAAAAATCTATTGCTCATAGCAATTTATTAAAGAAAAGAGTAAATCCAGAAAGTCCATTTGAAAATGAAAGTGATATAAAAGGACTTAATAACTAAGTGGATTAAATAATATATGATTAGGAAAGCTAATCTGGAGAAAATATAAATTTAGAAATGAAT